TAAGTAGAGTCCAATAAAAACAGCTAAGGTGCCCAGAGGTTTCTCAATCATTAGGGAACCAGCTTATAGGAAATAAACCCAACCACAGTATGGGGAAAAATTAGAAACCAATTGAGGATAGTACGGTGTACATCCTTTAAGTTTGGCTACAAAATACCTTATACGGATATAGGAATAAACTAATACACGAGTACAACCAAAGACCACTTAAGAATCTACCAATCCTCCTTGGGAATATATTCGTCTGCGTAAGAGACAAAGGAAGAAGATGAATTGGATATGGAAACCGATAGAGCTAGAGAACTAGGGGAAGATACATCATCATCATCATCAACAGCCTTTAATAGTCCACTGCTGGACATAAGCCTCTCCTTAGAAAGGAGGTTTTGGCCTACTATACCACGCTGGCCAGACGGGTTGGTATAGGCTTTGTGTCAAGTTTTCCTTCTCTCTGCAGTGCTGTTGTCCTGCGTAGTTTTTTCCCTTAGTCGGCTCTTACGACACCCACGGGATGAATAGGGGTGGTGACACTCTGTATTCTTAATACGTCACCACACGGCAAGATACACTGACACCAAATAATCATATGGCAAAGGGTAAGAAGATGATCATGATAAGCGTAATATCCAAGAAAACAATACACCATGCACAATTTATAAGTAGGATCTTCTAAGATCAACGACATCTGTGCATTATTCATAACCCAAAACAGGTCACTGAACCTCCGAACTGAATGACCTCCGGAGGACTAAGGACCCTGTTGAGATCTCTCGATAAAATAAATGTTATTAGAGGAAAATTTGCTTTAATTATAACTCTGGAAGGCACGACGCAAACTGTAATTATTCTAGTCCTTTATAAACATTTTTGTATGTATAACAATTTTCGTCGATACGCAAACAGAAATTAATAAATTCGTTTATAATGATTGAATTTTAATAATAATAATACTGTAGTATATGTACCACAGTGTTATCTAATTAATCTAAAACAAAAACTGGGCATATCTTTTTTTTCTTGTTTAAAAAGACAACTCCCGCATTCAGAATATATCCTGTGTCGCGGGGGACTTTACAAACATACCTACATGAAACGGACACAATCATGTGGATCACACAAAGTATCGTACCATGTGGGGATCGGACACACAACACTGAGCGTAGTAGTGAGCGGCGTGGCGACCGCTTAAACCACTGCTGTAAGGATCTGGATGAAATTTGCCACAAACTAGATTATAATCTGAAGTAAGATATATCCATATACTATGTATATATATAAAAAGGTTACTTTTATACCGGCAAAAATCACCAGTAACTCCAGCTGGTCCTCTCGAACCCCAAATTTCTGCCAAACCTTGATTTATAGGTTATTTTACGCTTGATGCCTAAATTAACTCTATCAACCGACTCTATGAAGCAATAATGCTGTTTAAAAAGAAAAAGAGTTGTTACCCGTTCGTGTTTGAATTACGTAAGAGATCTTCGTGCAATTTTGCACACATGCTATCATAGGTACAGACAAGGAAATAGGGTTTCTATCAACCAGAAAAATAGTGCTCCCGAGGAATAAAAAAGCAACAAAACCAATATAAACGCCCACGGAGCTGGTAACCAATAATTTCTAAAAACCAGAGTTACACAATCGAGTATTGAAAACAAAACCGCTGGTGTGTGACACGCCAATGGCTATTGGTAATAGTAATTTAGCGGGTTTTTACCTAACACTTAGTAATAAACTTTTTAATACGCCATTTTAAAGGTCAAAATTCAAACTAACTAAAATATCCACAACCCTTTTAAGTCCCGTCACGACACAGTTTAAAATTGAACCGATATTTGAGGGTTATGGTGACGAAACAGACGCGCCGCTCATAAATATTCATGAAGTTAAACCCGAGTTAACCCTCACACGGCAGTACGTTAGATACTATGGTTTTATTATGAGCTTGACCTTTTAACTCCGTCCTTGTAGACATATGGTATCGCCTATTTAGGTCACAGTTAGATTTTTATCTTTACTATTAGTTATTTTGATGACACAAACTAAACGTCGCTTAACGTGCTATGCACAAATTAAAAATGGCTATGCGGTTTTCAAGAAACATTTTACCTCACACAACCACTCTGTGGAACACATTGTCACATTGTTACGACCTTTAAACTTTTAGAAAAAGAGCGTACTCCCACCACAGAGGCCGGCAACGCGCTTGTGACTCCTGAGTTGCAATGGGTGGTGGTAGCCTCTTTCCATCAGGCGGACCGCCTGTTCGTTTCCCCTATATCATAAAATACTAAAGGTAGCTATGCCTGTAGTTGTCTTTACGGATAAAATCGTGTTCAACAGCCAAGTTTTCGAAGCTTGAAGAACAAACATAGTTGAAGTGGCAATGGGCTGGTCAATCTGCCGAAGGGCTGATGGTCGTTGAAGCTGTTAGAGTGGAGAACTAGATGCTTAAGAGGAAGCACCGTATACTATGGTACACAATGGGAAAAGGTTATGGGACATATAACATTTATTTCATAGTAAAGTTTTACAGTTTCATTACATAGGTTACATATCAAAGACCTCCTAAAGACTTAATTCAATGACTGATTAAACTTTTAATTTTTATACTAAAACATAGTATGGCTTTTTGTTAAGTAAAAACTTGTAAATTTTTTGTATTTTCACTGTGTTTTAAAATACAACAGCTGAATAGAAAGAAGGCCAAATTGTAATGACAAAAAGAAATTTTCTAATTGATTTACAAAAGTTTTGAAAGTAATATTTTGCACCCTAAACCTATTTATGTCAAAGCGATATTCTTCTCTGCCAAGTTACAAGTCTTTTCAATTTTAGCAAAAACAACACTGGACAATTTATATTTTAATATATTAGATTTAAAAAAAACGTAAGTATAAATTATAACAATACGTTTTAGATATATGTCCGTGTGGTGACGGATTAAGAATACGGATTGTCACCACCCCCATTTATCCCGTGGGTGTCGTAAGAGCCGACTACGGGAGCAAACTACGCAGGACAACAACACTGCAAAGAGAAGGAAAAGTTGACACAAACCCTATTCCAACCCGTCTGGCCAGCGTGGCATAGTAGGCCAAAACCTCTTTTCTTAAGGAGAGGCCTATGTCCAGCAGTGGACTTTTAAAGGCTGTTGATGATGATGATGATGATGATGTTTTAGATATATATATATATATTTAAATCGATACTTACGTATGATGAAATCATTAAATATTTTACAAATTAATTTTAGTAGGTGGATAAATTCTACAACGAGTTTCAGTGTTTAATTGGTCATCGATTTGTTTTAGCGGTTTAACTTTTGAAATTGTTTAATTCGTGTTCCGCAGCGACTTTTCTATTATATATTATCTAACATTAATACAGTAAAGATTTTAGAAATATGTTGATTAAAATTTAAAAGTGTAGTCATGAGTGTAGTGGTGATCTTGTTTTTGACATAAATATTTGTTCCAAAATAAACAAAATATACTTTGGGCCTGTTGACCTATTTTGACTATGACTGCTACGCCGTTGGTTTGATCCCACCCAGGACAAATAATTGAGTGATAAAGAGGGTCATTTGTTCTGTGAATGGGCTGAATTTGGGTTCCCTTCCCTCCGGACCTCGTTCACGAGTAGACGTGTCTAAACCGCACAAGGTTTTTATTCAAATCTAAAGTTGTTTATCAGTCTGGTTACCATAGTACAGGCAAGGATTAGACTGCCGTGTGTGAGATGTATGAGATTATTATTATAAATAAATGTTTACTTAAATTAATTTGGCTATGTTTTCTTACTCTTAAAATTGCGAATTAAACATTGCATTGAACAGTTTGTCTATCAGAACGGTATGTTCCAAATTTATTACACTTACACTTTCAATGACCTCAATAAATCTGTTGTCATAAGTGTGACAACCATTTATTTAGAGCTATGACAATACAACAATACATCGCTACCTCTTTGTGTACCTTTCTAAATATGTCGTGTTAAATAAGTGTGGTATACTTTCTGGGTCAGTATTGACTAGCAATTTTTGGAACGAAGTTCCTTATCGCGCGTTGTGAAAGGGGGCTAGACGGGCAAAATTCTCACGAAAAGTTGTAACGACACTTTTTATGTCAGTCATTCAGCGCCATCTTTTAATTAGAAACCAACTGAAAAATATGTAGGTAAAAGCCGCTTTCATAGATGGCGTTGTAATTAAAATCGTGTCGAATCAGTTTTACTAGATAGTCACAACTTCGTTCCTATCGGGTATTTTTTTTTAAAGACTTCTACACTAGAAATATATCCCGTGTCGCGGGAGCGTCACATTTCCTGCAACGGTGCAGTTTTACTAAGTTTAGAAATTTTAAGTATATTTTTATATAGGTACTTAACTATTTAATGCAATATTTAATAATTGAATGTCAAATCTATACATGTACGAAATTAAATGGTACGAAATGAATTTGGGGTGTAGTCTTGTAATGTAATCTTCTTCAATTACATTAAAAAAAAACACTTCAATTACATTGAAATAAATCCTAAACTATTATTTTTAGAAAGATGATGAGAAAATTATTATTTAAGAAAATGTAACACTGCAGTGAAATGCTATTATTTTTTCAACTTATTGTTAATATATGATTCTTGTCGTGAATTTGTTCAACATTTTCTTTTTATTAGTTAAAAAAGCACGTAAAAGAACGTTCTAGACGCTCACTCCTAAAATAGTACCTTATAGAACAATCGACAATTTAAAAAACACGAGAGAGCCTTACAATAGCCGCATATGACTACGTGTAACATCTGAGGGCCAGCACTAGCAAACCGCGCTCTCATTAGTCAAATCAAAATAGCACGCCCTCATTGGTCAAATTCAAATAGAGCGAGCTCATTGGTCAAATCGAAATAGCGCGTGCTTATTGGTCAAATCAAATAGCCCGCTTCTCCGGTTAACTGTTACAAATTCCGTTTTTATCACACATCAAAAATTAAAATACACTGACCTGCTGGCGTGTGTTTTTTGGACTGAAGGACTGGTCTCGGCGACAACGGTTCTTTTCCTCTTGAGAGTATTCGCCGGAGTTCTTGATTGTATTCCGGGTCATCGTGTGACCAGGGGTACAGTTCCGTTATTCCTTCCTGGATAACCTCCTTCATGAATAATTCAATTAACTCTTTACCTGATGACAAAAAATGTATATCTATCAAATCAATACAAATAAAAAAAAATTGAAGTGTCTGTTTGTAATGTCAAGATACTAGGTTTTTTCATATCACTTTGAATATTTTTTGTCTGTCTGTCTGTTTATTCCAGATAATCTTTAAAATGGCTGGACCGATTTTGATTATATTTTACTACCAGGTAGCTGTCCATATAAGGAGTAACTTAGGCTATTTTTTTCTCTCAGAAAACCCTATAAAATTTTGCCAGCTCCAGGAATCGAACCCACTAAGGCAGCGCTTTTCAAATTCCACGCGAACGAAATCGCGGGCACCGGCTAGTCCTTTATAAAACACAAGTAAAACCCATTCATATCTCAACAACATTGGCTAAGGCTTCAATTTTATATGTTGCGTACGTGATACCTAGAGTAAGCCTCTTATATCTAATCTTAATTTCACATCTTTCGTTCAAATTCTCGTATAAGTGAAAAAACTAAAACTCTAGCAGAATTATATTGAGTAAATGTAGTCCTAATACTCGATAGAGGTTATTCCTTTATGGTATAATTCTCAGAAAGAATAATCAAAATCGGTTCATAAACAACGAAGTTATCCGCGAGCAAACATAAAAAAAGCATATATACGGTCGAATTGAGTAACCTCCTCCTTTTTTGAAGTCGGTTAAAAAGAGAGTCATATAGAAAAGCGGTGTTAAGCTATTTTTGAAGTAAAACTTCTTGACTTAGGAAGCAAGCTGGTGAATACGTGACGAGAACGTTACGAAAGGTGTGATCAGGCGAGGCGAACGGAAGTTGAGAGAGAAAGATAGAGAGAGAGTTATGTTTCGTATATTACTGTAGGGGCACGAGAGAGGATTTTTTTTATTAGAGATTCTCTCATAGCCAAAAAGTTTTACTTCAGTGGTGTGGTCTAAAACACTCTCGTTTCTTCGTGGTGTTTCACCGAAGAAGTGAGCTTACTGGAGGCCCAATCCTTCCTCTCTAAATTCGAGAAGAATTCAGTATCTGGACACTCATTTGAGTATGTCCATGGGCAGCGGTAGACACTTGCCTTCAAGTTCTACTCGTTTGCCCCCTAAACCATGACAACAGCACTGCAAAGAGAAAGAAAACTTGACACAAACCCTATATCAACCCGTCTGGGCAGCGTGGTATAGTAGGCCAAAACATCCTTTCTAAGGAGAGGCCTATGTCCAGCAACTTTTGATAAATCACCCAGTTTAATGCGCGTACATCGTGACAAATTATAATAAACTGTATTCTTAATACTTAATTTTACACTCTTAGGTGTGGATTTTTTTTATTAAATTTTAATAGGACCAAGCGTAAATCAAGTAAACCCTCCTAAATAATAATTAACCAACTCGGTCCATAAATGACAGAATTCTAGGCTTTATCAACAAAATTACAACCGAATTGAAAACCTAATTCTTTTCTTATATTATTAAAAAGCAAAAACTGTGTTCTTGTGACGCGCGCTCCACGTTCACTCGACTCGGTGACTTACCCTTGGCAACGTTGGAGGCATACTGTTTCATGGCGATCTTTTCCACTGTGTTTTCAAGACCAAAAAAGTTCTTGACGTCTAGGAGGGCGCTCTGCTCGAAACAAGTCCATTCGGGATTCTCGGGGTGGACCTGCACAAATACTTTGAATATCAATGAAGACCAGTGCTCCTGTATAATAAGACCTAGACCTTAACAGCATATAGTCCTGCAAATGATGTCCCAAAAATACAAAGGTAAATGGATTTGCCACGACCTTGATATACAGCTATTTTTTCTTTATGGTTTAAGGGGGCAAACGAGCAGACGGGTCATCTGATGGTAAACAACTACTGCCACCCATGGACACCTGCAACTCAAAAGTCACAAGTGCGTTGCCGCCTTGAAGTCCCTCTCGCTCGAGTCCGCGGGAGGGTGGATTTGGGCTCCGGTAACCTCACTCACGCAGTGAAAGGCAAGGAAAGAATTGCGAAGAATTGCTTAACACCTAGCGCCTATTCCACATTCAGCAAGCCTTACATACACGCTCGTTTGTTACGACTGCTTTTAGTGAGACCCTTCTTCAGTCAATCTGGCTAGTCCCAGTCGCACCAGCTCGCGCACTCACAAGGGGTGATATAAATTTCTTTCATTCATCCTCTCTATGTGCCCCAACCATCACATCATATTTTACTCAATTCTTCTCACTACATGTTAATTCAAGTAACGCCGTTTTCTTACCTTATCATTCCTCACTCTATCAGTCAATCTTACAGGATACAATACATACTTTTCAATTATGGGTTTCAGACCAAATACAATACACAGTACTTATAGCACAAAGCAAGTAGGTACATGATGCATGCATGGCTAGTAGCCATGTTATGCATGATGCATCGCAATATGCACTAACATACTGCATAGATACATGCGTAATAACAAAGGAATAGAATACAAATTCCTCCATATTAAGAAAATAACTTTGAAATTAAACAGTACCATGACCTTTACTTCAACTTGGAAACAGGTTACATAAGGAAACCCGACAGCTTGTATAGTATTTGTATGAATTGAATTGTATACTTGAATGTATGGTATACTCGTACATTTTTGGCAGACAACTGTTTTTTTATTACTCTATTACAAGTATATGTATTTATCTAATTATTCGACTGGCCGGAGCCGGAGGTCTTGGGTTCGATTCCCACCTAGTACGAATAATTGTGTGATGAGCACTATCATTTGTTCTGTGTTTGGGTGTTATTTATCTATACTAATTTTATAAAAAGGTAAAGATTGTGAGTTTGTATGTTCGAGGTAATCTCCGGTACTACTGATGCGATTTCAAAAATTCCTTCACTGTTATAAAGGTATATTATCCCGAGTGTTATAGACTACTTATTACTGCTATAATATGCCTGTATTAAGAAATATTTAAGTATGTTTATCAAGCAGTCTGGTTACCATATCACAGGCCCTACCTAGCTCACCAGGGACTTCCTTTCTAGGGTATACCTGGTTCCCCGGCTATTAGTACCCGGCGACGGCGTGCGGTTTTAGTCGGTTCGAGTCCGACATGCCACCGACAGGTGGTATCCGAGGGGATTTCCGCACGGAAAAAAAAAAAAAAGGCCCTACCTAGCTGGGAATCGGACTTTTTATCAAATATCATGGTAGAAAAAAGTATGGTGAAACTCTTGAACAAAGGTTTTTTCAACACTTCAACATGGTTATCCAGGCCCTTGATATAAGTCTTATGTATAAAATTAGGAATGGAATAACAGAGACAGAGAAAGGTCCTAATCCAAAAAAAAAGTTGCAATCTTTGATAAAAAGATTTTTGATTGATTATCTTTGTCTAATTAAATCACAATTACAGGTAAATAGCACTAAATAAATCCCATCATATGATCATATAATTATTATGTAAAAGTAGCAATAATTTCCATGCCTAATAAAAATATGTCTATAATAATATGTGCTGCCGTATCGTTCATCCGATCATTATTAAATGTTGTATACACGTTGTCATGTCAGTATAGTATAAATAAGGAATGCCAACGTCATACCGATTGCTACTCGAGCTAAAATGCACTTTATTGCATAAACCAAAAGTTGGTATTTCTTTAACTGTCACTTCAAAGTGAACCTTCCGTATAGTACTAACACTTAACTTTATGGCTTCGGATTACAGATGTGTGGTAGCTTAAAAAAACAAAGTAGTTTGAATTAACGCACGGATATCGTAGTGGTGTAAGCGGTCACCTCGCCGCTTCCTACTGCGCTGAGTGTTATGGGTTCGATCCCCGCATGGAACAATACTTTGTGTGATCCACTAATTGTTGTTCTTAGCTTAGGTGTTCTTTGTGTCCGTTTCATATATGTTTGTAAAGTCCCCCGCGACACAGGAATATAAAAAAAAACACAAAAAGTTGACTAGCATTTAGAACTTAGATACACACACAATTGCTACATAATAATAAAAAAGCTACAGTTTATAGAACGCGGAATGATTTCTAATAAGTATCGCAGATTGCCAACACCGCCATGATTCAGCCTTGGCCTCACAGAAATCCGGGTTAAGTTTTTTGTTTCTTTTCCCCTAGTAAGTGCGGTTACCGGTCGTCACAACCCCCTCTAGCTCTACACTAACAGGGCGACTGACATTAAAAACTTACATTGAAGTAACAAAACTGCCGGTGATAGGTCACCTTCGTCTAAGCCGCATATCACATCACATCAACAGCCTTTAATAGCCCACTGCTGGACATAGGCCTCTCTTTAGAAAAGAGGTTTTGGCCTACTATACCACGCTGGCCAGACGGGTTGGTATATGGTTTGTTTCAAGTTTTCCTTCTCTTCGCAGTGCAGTTATCCTGCCTAGTAAGTTCCCTTAGTCCGCTCATACGACACCCACTTGATGAATAGGGGTGGTATACTCCGTATTCTTAATCCGTCACCACACGGAAGCCGCATATCGTAATGAGTTATTCTGGCAACTAATAATACGTATTTGTTTTCAACTATACCGCTTACCGCGTTGCTATAGCACGTTATGGTTACGTTTTCATGAGAAATAAGAAAGTAAACTGACGCTAAAAATAAATAAAAACAATCTTTGAAGTGGTTTGTATATGTCAAAATTTGAGCTCAATCGGGGCACAACTTTTTGAGTTTTTGAAGCGTACACAAATGAAATTAACATTTAGATATATATAGATAACTAGCTGACCCGGCAAACGTTGTTTTGCCATATACATAATTTTTAGGAAATACTGAACAAAAAAAATTAGGGGTGGTTATTCTCAGACCTACCCGATGTGCACACAAAATTTCATAAAAATCGGTCCAACCCTTTCGGAGGAGTATGGTAACTAACATTGTGACACGAGAATTTTATATATAAGATTAATATATAACAGTCTTGCCTTTCTTGGGTTGAGGACCTGTTACAGAGAAAGGCATTGCAAAAACAGTTTAGATCCAAAGCAAAATACTGCTGTCTTTAATGACAAATCGATTATTTCTCCTTTTACCTTCTTTTTAATTGGCATTTCGCCAATCAGTCACCGGTTCAACCGGTTTTTATAATCGTGGAGTATAATGTATAGTTACATTTTATTCATCTATCTATCTATTTCATCATGTTCCTGCTTTCCACCAAATATTTTATTATGGTCGCCCCAATTTGTGACAAATGAGGAAGGGTTTTGGCTGGTTTCTTTTAAGATCGGCTGCTTGCCTAGCGCCGACCGTCTTTGGGAATGTAATCTTTTGACGACGGGACAAAGGAACAAGACAAAGTGGGGTACATAAAAAGGCGAGGGAGCAGGAGTAAGGAATACCATAAATTTCGGATGGGGTAACACTACTTTGATGGGAGACGCTACTAGGGACATAATCCAGCTGGTATAGCTTAAAGTATTAGATTATATTCTTTTTTTATAGTGTAGTTTAGAGGCAAACGAGCAGACGGCTCAACTGATGGTAAGTGCCTACCGACGCCCATGATCAGCTGCAATTCAAGAGACAGTGAGTTTATATAACATAACACTACGTATAAGTTGTACAAATCTATATATTTTGAGTGTCTGTAAATATTAAATGTGATATTGCGTCATACTGGTTAGTACACTAAAACATTTGCAATGCGTTTCCTTTCTATCTAAGGTCTGTGATGTATGTAGCGAAATTCTTCGAGATAATTATCTAGTGGATCGCAATTTTCCACTTGGCTTAGGAAATCGCAGCCCTAATATATATTTAATTAAAGTACAAGTAGTAATAGATAAGATGTCAAAGTAGGTCAGTTAACACAATTCGATTGCATATTAATCGATTATCTAAAATACCACAGTACCGTGGAACTTAAGGTAGTTTGTACATAGACGCCGTCACCGTGAGCTAGGATATTTGAGGCAGAGGAGTTCAAGATTACGGGACGGCGATCTGTAATTTATTTTTATGCAATTGGGGACAAACGAGCAGCGGCATTGACATTTTCTCCAGGACTCAAAGCCCCAAAACCTCCCCAGGTTTTGGGGCTTTGAGTGCAGGAATAGTGGTTAAGTATAAAAATAATCACCAATTATAGTTCTGGTATACAGTTTGTGTTCATGTGAGCTAGTTGGTACTCAACTAGAACACTGGCTATTTTAATGGTTATTGGATTCAAGAGTGCGGGATACTCAAACTTACAATGAGTTTCTGGACTATAGAGCAAGGATATAGCAGATCATTAGGGAAAAAAAGGATAAGGTAAGATGTTGTCATGGTGTAAATTGTCTACCATAATTTTTATGTTCTTTTTTAAGACAAGTCACGCGCTAGTAATATATCCGATGTCGCGAGGGACTTTACAAACATTCTTATAACGATTTGTGGATTACACACTTTGTGTTGTCTCATCTGATCGAAACCACAACTGACAGCGCAGTATGAAGCGGCGAGGTGGCCGCTTAAACCACTACGCCATGAGTGCAGTGTTTGTGTTGCTTATAAGCATGTTAGTCAGCAATCTGAAGGACAAGTTTCCTAACAAAAGTTCAGTCAAAATTCAGTTCCGATCAATCTCACAATGGTCATAAAAGATATTTTCGTAGTAAAGTATTAAACATTGAACTTTGACTATAGTGTGATTATATCGTATTGTAACCGAAAACTGAATCGGTAAACGGTTAACTATTTGACTACGAAAATTCCCTACAATGACAACTGAATTTTGACAGAACTTTTATTACGATATGTGGCCTTTTGGTTACCATAGTACAGGCTTTATTTAGTTTGGAATAAGACGGCCAAGTATGAGAGAATGTCATCATCATCATCAACAGCCTTTAATAGTCCACTGCTGGACATAAGCCTCTCCTTAGAAAGGAGGTTTTGGCCTACTATACCACGCTGGCCAAACGGGTTGGTATAGGGTTTGTATCAAGTTTTCCTTCTCTCTGCAGTTCTGTTGTCCTACTGCATGCTTGGCAGCTGCAGACTTGGCAGCATCTCGAAGAATGTTGAGGAAGTAGATACAGGAAAATAATGTTCCGATTGATCTGCTTGAGAGAATGTGTAGAGTTAAAAAGAAAATTCCGTCCACCTAAAATAAAACTGGGCAACAGGACAGTAAAATGATCATAATCCTTCGTAAATTTAACAAGTTTTGTGCGTTTCACGGTTCCAAGTATCCACAACAATCCACAACATCAAATTACGCGACCCTCGCCAGTCTCGTTAAGAAGTGTCCAGTAACATCGCGTGCTAACTTTCTACCGTTGCAACATTTCAGATATAATCGCACTCCAAATTGTTTACTTCCTGCACTAGTGTTAAAACGATCCTCGCAATAACACAACGTTAAAAATTATTTGACGGGCCTGTTGGTCTAGTGGTTAGTGACCCCGACTGCTAAACCGGAGGTCGTGAGTTCGATTCCCACCCAGAACAAATATTGTGTGATGAGCACGGTCAGTTGTTCTGTGTCTGGCTGTAATTAATCTGTAATATGTATGTATTTAGAAATATATAAGTATGTTTATCAGCGGTCTGGTTACCATAGTACAGGCTCTGCCTAGTTTGGGATCAGACGGCCGTGTGTGAGTGTGTGAGATATATTATTATTATTTTTATTTTATAAATTACCAACTGCCACTATTCGATAATGGGTTTGGCAAACTGCTAGAAATCAATTTTATACACTATTGAGCAGACGGGTGACCTGATGTCAAGTGACAAATGCGTTAAGGTCTTTTGAATGAGCAAAAACGGGGATTCCCCGGTAGCCGCACTCGAACTCATTATCTTGCCCGAACTCATCTACGCTTATTGGCTAGTCGAGTTTTTCATCAAGTACAAACTTGAGCACGCTTTTTGACTTGTTGAGTGTTTTAAAAATACAATGATACTTCCTACTAAAAAAATTGTCATTCTTAAAACAAGTTCTTGTATAAAAAATTAGTCATTCCTTAAACTAGTTGGTATACGTAGCTAAACTTATACAGTATCTTGAAAGTTTCAAATAAAAATGTGTGTTAACTAATAGGGGTCGATTTTTAGACCTCGTCGACCCCCAAAATCCGTTTTCGTTTATATCGACTCCTGGGAAACCGATTTCGACCCCAACAGATTATTATAAGCTCGGTAGAGTAATGGCTAAGCATCAATATTATTGTATTCGATAACAAAATGTCCCGGATTCGGATCCTACGCGGTATATTACCGTATTACGAAAATATCTTTTACAGCTCAGAAATGCTGGCCAAAGACTGATTCGTTTTTATTTCAAAGTAGTTGCTCATGATCTCATGAAGAATCTCATATCTATTCTTAAATTGCTTTTTTATTTAATTTAGGTAAAACAAAGGATACTGTCATGTTGGGAGCAAGGGGACAAGTAAATCAAACAGCGTCTAAACCAAGATTGATCTTTATTTCAATAGCCGGCGCCTCATCGGGCCTCCTACCCACATATATTTATTATTGTGTTGTGACCTAATTACATATACCTACAACCCCTTTTCTCAAACAAAGTTTTTCTATTTATTATATTAATAACCATAATTATAATATAAATAATAATAATCAAATTTAATACTACTAATTATAAACAACAATCAATGTCCCTAATAGAAATGTGAAAATAGTATAAACATGCAATAATTGAAAGTGAAGTGATTTTGCATAAAATCAAAATCAAATCATTACAAAGTAACGTTACTCATTACTTAAGTGATAATAAAGGAAAATTTACATGCAATGAGATAATTAAAATCTGTTCATAAGACATACGAGTACACATAATCATTTAAAAAGGGGTACTTATAAACAATTATAAGCACCTACTACCTAAACAATCTGTATTATTTTTCCACTTATTTATTCAATTATAGAATTCAAAATAGATACGAATACATTATACGGATTAAATCAATATGAAAATTACATTTAATACATTTTTACGAATTAATTTAAATTTACAATCAATTTAATTTCCATTCTTAATTCCACAATCTAGATTTAAAATATTTTATTTAAAATAACAAACAAACATATTATTTAGCATGGAATTTACAATTATAATTTAAAACGTTCTATTACAAAATGATAATATTAATAAAACATTCCATCATGAAATCATATCATTCAAATTATTTTTCAGTTTTTAAATAAGTTTGAAATACATTTTATTTTCTATTTACATTTCATTTACACTCACCTATGAGTAGCCCCACCGATCAGGAGGCCGCACTATCCTGCCGAAACGAGTACGATATGCATTAGAACAGTTATCATCAGCTGATTGTAAGACTAGTTCACCGGAACCAACAGACGTGGATTGAGATGTGTCTAAGTTTATATCGTCATATAACAAACTGTATTCATTCTGTGGTGATAAGCAATTGCGGTTCGAATCAGCAATCAAATGTCTTCTATTGCGTCTCAAACTAGTTCCGTTATTCAATAACACAACATATGATCGCATTCCAAACCTGTTTTTTACAATGCCCGATTGCCAAGTATTGTTTATTCTAACTTTTACTTTCTGTCCTACACATAAAGGTGTTAAGTTCTTTGATCCTCTATCATAATAATATTTTTGAATTTGTTGACGACTTTTAATCTTTTGTGCCGTGTTATTATGTAATGTTGGCTTTAATAATATAGGGTTGCACGGCACGATGCTACGTAGCTTTCTACTATATAGTAACTCTGCGGGTGATGGTAGTTCTTTGCTAATTGGTGTATTTAAATACTCTAATAACGCCAAGTTAAAATCCGATTGATCATACGCAGTTTTTCTAATTATTTGTTTTATAGTTTGAATGGACCGCTCGACCTGACCATTGGACTGTGGGTATCTAGGCGATGACGTGACGTGACGAAATTTCCAGTTTCTTGCAAAATCAGAAAATGCTAAAGATGAGAACTCGGGGCCATTATCTGACATAACCGTCTCTGGAATACCTTGTCTACCGAATATTGTTTTTAATTTATTTATAACATTTTCAGAGGTACTTGAATTTAATTGTGCCAATTCAATGAATTTACTGTGATAATCCACCGCTATTAAATACGATTTGGAACCTAAATGAAAGATATCTATACCGACTTTGCACCACGGTCTATCAGGTATTTCATGCGGAATTAAGGGTTCTTTTATATTTTGTTTTCTATAGTTCAAGCATGCCTGACATTTCGATAAGTAATCTATTAATTGCGTGTTCATATTAGGCCAATACATAATTTGACGAGCTCGAAGCTTACATTTCTCAATACCTAAATGACTACTATGTATATTTTTTAACATTTTATAACGCATTGATTTAGGAATGACAACCCTACAGCCTCTCCATACTATGCCAAAATTTACAACTAACTCCTCCTTGCATTCCCAGAAGGGTTTTAATTTATTATCTAGAGTACTCTTATCAACTGGCCAACCCCGTTTTATGGTTTTGATTAATAATTGCATGTCTTCGTCTTCTAAAGTGCTTTTTTGAATTTCTACAAAATGCGTGTCCGTCAATACATTACTAGCACTGATCGAACATACTTGCGCCTGCGCGTCGTAGTGATTACGTGAGTGAACTGAATCGACTGGCTCCGCGCTCGGTGCAACCGCACGCGATAATGTATCGGCTATGTATAAATATCGGCCGGGCTTATATACTAATGTAAACGTATACGGTTGTAATCTCATTAGCATTCTTTGTAGGCGCGCAGGTGCATTTGCTAAAGGCTTATTTATAATATTTACTAAAGGTTTATGATCGGTTTCTATAGTTATTTCTGTTCGTCCGTAGATGTATGTATAAAACCTTTCACAAGCAAAGACACAGGCATACAGCTCCTTTTCTATCTGTGCATATGACTGTTCGGTTTTAGTTAGTGCCTTGGATGCATAACATACAGGCAAATTACTTTGCAATAAACAAGCCCCCAGACCGTTTTTACTCGCATCCACGGATATTACAACCGGTTTCCGTGGATCATAAAATTGCAAGACCGGTGGATTCACAAGAAGACATTTTATTTCGTTAAAACATTGATTATGTTTGTTTGTCCAGTGCCATTCTATGTCTTTTTTAAGTAATTCTCTCAAAACACACGTTTTGTCTGATAAGTTGGGTATAAAATTACCAACGTACGTAACTAAACCCAGAAATCTCTCCACATCCTTTACGCAGGTAGGAGTGGGCATATTTTTTATTGCGTTTATGTGCGAATCGTCAGGGCTTACGCCATCTTTGGAAATTTTGTGCCCCAAATATTTTATTTCGGTTAGACCAATAATGCATTTTTCTTTATTTAATTTTATATTAATGACCTCACATCTTTTAAGAACCGTACGTAATCGTTGATCGTGTATTTCTTTTGTGGGACCCATTATTAAAATATCGTCGACAAATAAAATTACACCCTCAATATCATCCAGATGTTCATACAAACGTTTATGAAATATTTCTGACGCGGACGAGATACCGTACGGCATTCGTAAAAATTTATATCTACCAAATGCAGTATTAAACGTACATAGATCGGTACTATCTTTATGCAATTTTACCTGCCAAAATCCCTGCTTTGCATCTAAAGTGCTAAAATATTTGGAGCCTGCTAGTTTGGTGACTATTTCCTCAAACGTAGGTAGTTTAAAATGCTCCCGCTTAATTGCACTGTTAAGATCCCTAGGGTCTAGACATATACGCAAACTCCCGTTAGGTTTTTTGACTACCGTCATACTATTAACCCAGTCCGTAGGTTTATCAACTTTAGCTATTATACCTTCTCTTACCATCTCTTCTAACTTAATTTTCACTTGGTCTCGAATTGCAACTGGTAGCTTTCTAGGAGCATGTACAACTGGCTCGACATTATTTTTTATTTGTATTTTGTACTCGCCAGGTAAACAGCCCATGCCCACAAAAACTTTAGGAAACTCGTTCAAAATGCTGTAACTAAACTGCTTATCTTGGCTAATTGACATTATTCTCTTGACCAATTGCAACTCTTCACATGCACTTCTACCCAGTATCGGGGATGAAGGCGTATCAACAACGATAAATTGCAAAAAGAAAACATTATTTTTATATTTCACTTTCAAATAACACTTGCCTATCACCGAAATAACGTCACCAGAGTACCCACTTAATTTAATTGATGTTTTCAATAAATCATTATCTGATAAATTAATTGTTTTGAGAAATTTACGAGGTAAAACATTTACGTCGGCTCCGGTGTCTAATTTAAAACTAATTATCGTACCATTTACAATTTCTAGTGCTACTAGCCACTCATTACAATTACAAGTATTTTTGTTTATTACCTGATCGGTGGAGTCCTCCAGTACGGAATGAACTCTGCACATCCTCGCAAAGTGGTTGATGCGGTTGCACTTCATGCACCTTTGACCCCGCGCCGGACACTCGTACCTTCGGTGCACTCGACCGCAGTACCCACATCTGTTTGCATGCTGATATCGCTGTACTGTTTGTTTAGGCGTATGAGTTGAGACGTTCACCGTGTCTTGTCTCGGCGGATGGTCATAACGAGAACGGCCGGTCTTTGTCTGCTTTGATGTGCGTGAACCCTGCGTGGACTGCTCGCGTCGCTGTATCCCATTAATTTCGTGCTCGCTTATCTTTTCTTCATTAATCGCGTGTACCTGGCTATTATATTCTTGGTTTTCCTTGATGTTCCTTGCTTGCATATGCGACATTTCCGCCAATCTGCATATTTCGATTGCTTTTTCTAACCTCATGTCTGGTTCACGTAATAATCTTTCGGATAGGGCTATATCCCTTATGCCACATATCAACCTGCTACAGACAAGATCGTCACGTAAATCTTTAAATTCACACTGGACCGCCATCTTGTTTAATTCAAAAACGTATTGTTCTGCAGATTCTAACTCCCTTTGGTCCCTCTTGAAAAACTTATGGCGTTCCACTGCCAAATTTTTCTTTGGTATAAAAAAGTCATCAAACTTTTTTAATAACTCATCCACCGTATTCCACTGTTCATTAAATTGTGCCGCTACTTCTCGACATTTCTCGCCAACAATATGTAGCAAAATGTTAACTTGCGTTTTCTTGTTTTTGTTGGATAATTCACAAGCTTCATAGTAGATGTTGAATGCAGTCTTCCACTTTTGCCATTCTGTACTCAGATTCCCAGAAGTTATGTTGCACAAACTATTATCAAATTGAAACGGCGGCGGTGGCTGAAGAACGGATTCCATTGTATTTTTTTTTTTTTTTTTTTTTTTTTTTTATATTGCTATTTGTTTTCTGTCCGATATCGACTTCTCACTTCAATATCTTCTTTTCCTTAGTATTATGCATTTAATCCTACCGACTGCGCCATGTCATGTTGGGAGCAAGGGGACAAGTAAATCAAACAGCGTCTAAACCAAGATTGATCTTTATTTCAATAGCCGGCGCCTCATCGGGCCTCCTACCCACATATATTTATTATTGTGTTGTGACCTAATTACATATACCTACAGATACTTTTAAAATTCATTATATAAAAAATAAATTTCTGAGCACAGTAGCAGACATCTACTTCCATTTTGTAATTTTGGTTTTTAATTCTATGTATTGTATTTGTGTATTTTTATTTAAAAACATCGATTAGATATGGTAAGAAGATAAGGGGAGCAGAAATGTGATCTTGCTATTATCATGTCATCAGAATAGATAAAAGAAATGCCTTGTAACCTTCTGAAATTACTTTGTTGTCTTACCCAAGATACGTTACGCATTTCCATCGTAATTTATGTACACAACTCATATAAAGAGTACATTGAAAATTAATATAAACAAAACATACAAAAGACCGACTATGTACCTATAAGCAACTATAGACAATCGATAAATAAGCATGGCGCAGTTCTCAAAGTATTAAGAAGTTTTGAACTGGTACTGAAGAGGTCTCCGTGTGGTGATGGATTAGAATACGGAGTGTCACCACCCCTATTCATCCCGTGGGTGTCGTAAGAGCCGACTAAGGGAGCAAACTACGCAGGACAACAGCACTGCAAAGAGAAAGAAAACTTGAAACAAACCCTGTATCTACCCGTCTGGCCAGCGTGGTATAGTAGGCCAAAACCTCCTTTCTAAGGAAAGGCTTATGTCCAGTAGTGGACTGTCATAGGCTGTTGATGATGATGATGACTGAAGATGCTCAACTTAACTTATACTGGCAGAAAATTGACTCTTCAAGACCCAAACTGGATCACAGAAGGTTTATTATAAAAAATTGAAATGTAGAATTTTCCCCAAGGATCTTCAATTTGTGTCATTAAGGAACATTTCAGAATCGTGAAAAAAAATATAAGCAGATACTTTTTTGAAAGGTAAAGTGGGAACCTCGTGAGAAAATTGTGCAATTCAGACACATGATCATATTTACACACGCAAACAACTAATCATGAAGTCTCTCAAGTTTATGAAATTGTTGCCCAGTAACACCAACGTTCTCGTTGTTATTAAAAAAACACAATATTATATTTAACCTTATTTAACAAAACTTGAAACAGTTTTACGAAAAAAAATATTAAAATCACCTTCGACCATATTATATTACCCAGATAGGTGGTCTCGTTCTGCAAAACACAGATATAAATAAAAGAAATGACTCTCACAAATCCGCAATACCCTCGTCAAGTGAGCCACGTAATTGTATTGATCTTAGAAGAGACAAATAATGATAGCTTTGATTCAGGAGGTTGTCCTTGAATAACAGGCAGATAACAAACATACAGGTGTATTATTAAAGTCAATTATATTGAAGACTCTAAGTTCTTTGAAGAAATCAAATAGTGAGCACTTTCCGGGCTTCCTGTTACAGCGTTCTGTTTCTTTTCACGTAGTCACTCCCATATATAACAGGACAGCGAGAGACAAGATATTACAGATACAAAACTCAAGAATTATAAGAGCAATGACGGCCAATGGCAGTTTTCGGTGGAAGGAAAAGGACATTTATGATACACATTCTGCTCCTCAAAACATTCCCCGGCATGCTCATCATTAAGTGTATTATTTCACACGTAGTTGTCAAGAACTAGAATTTTCATAGACTGATAATGTCCGAAAGAGTTTACCAAAAATCATGGTTTTGTAGACTTGAAGAAACCATATCTATCAAATATCATTATTTTTATTCAAATTCTTTGACATGAAGTTTGTTTTGTGTCAATTACAAAGTTAAGAGATGCTGGAATGAACTTCAACTAACAAACAAGTCCTGGTGTTAATACCAATTAATATTTAAATTCAGAATACCTGCGTCGAGGTCCTGAGAGACACCCGTGAAAATTGGCATTGGATAATTCTGGAAGACAATTCTCAATCAACTCGGTTTGAAATTCGTAGCAGCAATAAATGGTAATGACCTTCCCTTGTCATGTGGAATAAAAAATATATGTCTCGCAAAATGTTGGCAAAACCTTTGTCCCTCCGCTGTTTATGTATTTGCCTGTACAGTATAAAAATGTGCCGTTTACATTTATACTGTGAATGTTTTTAACCGTTCAATACTGATTCATCAAATCAGATCCTAAAGCAATAAACTTTAAATTTGGCAGCTGATGCATGTTATGTCGTAAAAACTGACTAAGAAAGGAGTTTAGGAAATTTCACCCATGAATGAGTAAAAAAGGGATAAACAATTGTATGGCAATTCGTCATTTTCCGACTTGGGAACACGAAATAAAAATTATCACGCAAGCGGAAACCGCGGGCGAAATAGCTGGTAAACTATAAGAAATACATTTTTACTTACATAATATTTACATTTCTCGATAACCTGAACTTTCGAGGCGAAGGTTTCGTTGGTAGCTTCGATATCCAGCACTCTGTTCCGTAGATCTAGGTTGTTTGTTTGTATGAAGTAGATGTACTCCACGCCGATCATCTGGAATTAAGCACTATTCTTAGAACTTGAGCCGTACGGTAAAAGATCTATCTTGAAAAGACATAGATGCAATTTTAAGGAGTATTATATTTAAACAAAGTAAACTTAATCATAAAACCACGTCTTATATCACGGAATGGAAAGACAAAAGTGTATTAAAGACCCTACATTTTGCCGACTGTATTTTCGTCCCACTTGCGTAATTAGGAGGACAGTTAAATCTCGCTAAGATATTTGGGAGTACAGCAGAGGTTTAAAACAAGTACTATAAGAAATTACTAGTTATGTAAAAAGTAAATCCGTTACCTTTTTCAGTAGATAGGGAGCCTCAACGTTAAGTTGACAGCGCCTGGTGGTACACCTCTGTGCGTCGTCTGGCGACCAACTGTCGTCGACTATGACACACTCAATCACCACTGGTATTTGAGGGCAGCTGGGAAACCGCCTTTCATATGCCTGTAACAAGGAAAATATAGTTGTAGTTGGAATAAAAATTTGAGGAAAAGAGGAAAAGTTTTGGTTTGTCCAGCGCCTGACGCTGACAGAAAAATCTCGAAGTCTCGAATCTCGAAGTCGGTCATTCACGAAATAACACGTGAGTAAATAGTTATGGTTTCTTCGAAATATAACAAGCACGAACTGTAAAATGTTTTGGAAACTGGTGAGGTTATATAAAATCAATCCTGCCCTGACTTGTCCAAGCACGATTATTTTGGTGGTCTCTTAGGTAGTTAAAGATAAAATCATATAATGGTAATATGCTTGTTATTTGTTTGTTTTATATTTGTTCAATTTAGTGTTAAAATCACATTTTACACAGTTTAGTTTCACATAGTGTTACTCTATTATGCATGTTGTGACGCCTTAAAATGTTATGCATTAATCTTAATATAATAAATGCATGCTTTAGATTTTAGTAAATAATGTAACAACTACTGGCTGGCCCAATAAATAAATAAATTTTACATTCCCAACGAAGGTTGGCTTCAAACAGGCAGCCGTCTCTGAAAGAAACCAGTCAAAACACATTTATATGTATTTACATACTCGTGATGCAGAAAGGTGTAGCAATATTTTAGTTTTGTATAACCGATAAACAGTTCAGACAGCTTGCAAATCGGTAATTGAAATGAATTTATCTAGGTATATAAGTATTTTACCGTGTCTATTTCTTAATTTCATGTTTGTTTATTCATTTCTGCATGTTCAAACAAATGTGGTACCATTAAAACTGGTAATTTATAACATGTTCGGTAATATATTACTTATGGAAGGTATTTAAAGATAACATATTATCGCAAAGTTTGAAAAGCCACAAAATCAATACTCACTAACTTTGAAAAGAGACTTTAAAAAGTTTAATAATTCTGAAGAACGCCAATATTGAAACTGACGCTGTTGACGTCTATTTACTACCTACTACTATTACCTGGAAAAGAAAACTTATTTAGAAATTAGCTGGCGCCCGCGCCTTCGTTCGCTTGGAATTTGAAAAGCGCTGCCTTAGTGGGTTCGATTCCCGGACCGGGCCAAATTTTATACTTTTTTCCTAAGAGAAAACATAGCCTAAGTTACTCCTTATATAGACAGCTACCCGGTAGTAAAATATTATCAAAATCGGTCCAGCCATTTTGAAGATTACCAGGAACAAACAGACAGACAGACAGACAAAAATATTTTAAACTGGTTTTTGGGCATAGGTATCGTGGAAATAATCGCGTGAGCATGAAAAAACCTATTATCTTGACATTACAAACAGACACTTCAATTTTATTTATTTTTATAGATAATCCAAAGAGGTATTTAGTAACGAATAGGGGTCGAGTTCTACTTTTTCAAGAAACACACAATATTTCAGTCCACGATAAATATCTAAACGATCTATTCGCGTCCAAATACTTAATTGGAGTCTTAGAATTTAGTACATTAACCTAAATAAAAGACCTAGTTACATTTGAACTTTTCACACGAACATTGAGCGGGAAACCGTCTGGTCACAATTTACGAAGAAAATAATAAGTTATGGAAAGAGTTATAAAACTAATGGCCGTGTATGATAATAGCTGGAGTTGGCAAAGTTTCTTGAGACCAAAGCAGAGACGGCGTTCGGCGGTGCGTTTGTCCCGCAACGTTGAACGCGCTTGCTGTCGAGAGCCAGTAGATGTGGAACAACCTCACACTAGGCCCTCTGGTGTTCGAATTGTAGTAATGTTACAAATGGTAGTCCGTGTGGTGACGGATTAAGAATACAAATTGTCACCACCCCTATTCATCCCGTGGGTGTCGTAAGAGCCGGCTAAGGGAGAATACATACTCAGAACAACAGCACTGCAGAGAGAACGAAAACTTGACACAAACCTGCAGTGGACTATTAAAGGCTGTTGATGTGATGATGATGTGTGATGTAACTTTTGTGGGGAGCCTGGTTAGTCTCGGGTATTACTGGGCCCTTTATCAAGCCGTAAAGCGATCTGTCTTGATATAGCAGGTGACACACATTTCTTTTGGTCACCCCATGATAAGTGACTACTGCCACCCATGGTCACCTGCAGCTCACGAGTCATAAGTGCGTTGACGTCTTTTGAGTTCCTCCTCCCACAGAATCAGATTTTAGGCTCCGGTTACCCCAGAAGCAACAAAAGAATTGCTCTTAACACCGGTTTTCTATTTGCCGTGGTATTCACCGCGCGAGCCTGGCCCATATGTCCCGAAACATGGCTTCCCCACATATACCAATGACTTATATACTTCTACTAGCCTATCCGAAACTGGTTCAGTTACACTAACTTTTAAACTTTCGCGTTCCATGATAATGTTCCATGATTTCGACCAGGTTGCACCGGCCGTGGTCACAGGCTGACTGCCTGTGACCACGGCCGGTGCAACCTGGTCGAAACGTCAGGCAAACCAGAGGTATGTAATACCCTAAATAAGAGATCGCGTTAATTCCCGTTAAATAATATTAATGGTTCAGTTACAATTCGAGTATATAGTTAAAAGTTTTTGTTCAAGCCCGATCTTATCCAAAACAAATTTGGATTGGCTATATTTATCACCCTTTTTTTTTTCGTGCGGGAATCCCCTCGGATACCACCTATCGGTGGCATGTCGGACACGAACCGACTAAAACCGCACGCCGTCTCGGGTACTAATAGCCGGGGAACCAGGTATGCCCTAGAAAGGAAGTCCCTGGTGCCCCGACATATATTTATCACCCTACATTTATGTAAAGAGCCTATGTACTAATTAGTCTTTTTCTGCCTCGAAATCCATTACCTAGTAAAAGCCTTACGTAGTTAAATAACATTTTCTATTTTCAAGGCAAAACATTGTAAGTCATACCTGAACTGTAACGATGAACGTATATTAACTCAAAAGATTTTTTGTGTTGTTAATTTTTTTGTGAGACATAAATCTAAATCCTAAATAAATGTTTACACTAGCAACATTTATTTGGCCTAGTGTTGCCATTTGTCACGATAATCCTACAACTTTAATGGGTTAATAAAACACGAAGCGCTAATTGGCATACTATCGTGTTTTTGTCAATATAGATAATATATCACAAGTCATAACTACTTAGTATGATTACGTGTGTTGTAGCAAAAATGTATACGCGTTTAATTATTGCACCGATTATGTTTTTTATGTTTGATTAAAAATAATAGTCCGTGTGGTGACGGATTAAGAATACGTAATGTCATCCCGTGGGTGTCGTAAAAGTCGACTAAGGCAGAAAACTACGCAAGACAACAGCACTGCAAAGAGAAGGAAAACTTGAACCCGTCTGGCCAGCGTGGTATAGTAGGCCAAAACCTCCTTTCAGAGGAGAGGCCTATGTCCAGCAGTGGACTATCATAGGCTGTTGATGTGATGTGAAAAATGACTGACCAGAAATGACTGAATGTTGTTTTTAATTATAGATCTTTATTATAAAACGAAAATTATGCGTCTGTATCTACCTACACTTAATGTACACTAGTTAAATTTTTTACTAGTTGACAACCGCGACGTAGAATTTGAAAAGAGCTGACTTAGTGGTGTAGTACGGTACGCGACTGTTGTCCATGAGTCCTCGGGTTCGATTCACGGACCAGACAAAATTTTATAGGGCTTTTCTGAGAAAAAAATAGTCTAAGTTTCTTCTTATGTATACAGCAAACAGGTAGTAAAATACTACGAAAATCGATCCAGCCGTTTCGAAGATTACCCGGAACAAACAGACAGACAGCCAAAAAATATTGAAACTGGTTTTTAGGCACAGGTATAGTGCTAATAACTGTGAGCATGAAAAAAAACTATTCTTTTGACATCACAAACAGACACTTCAATTTTATTTATTAGTATAGATGACTTTTTTTAGGTTGTACGAAAGTGTAATTATTGATGTTTTTAACTTAAGTCAGCATAAGTTATTTTAAAACAACCATATTAATGTTTAAATTGGTACATTGTTTACTACTTAGGTTAATCGTCCGTCAATTATTTTCTTACTTGACAATATTCTATGAACCTAACTTTATAAACGAGTCAACTAACCACAGAACTACAACAAGACAAAAACGGCAAAAACTTAAGCGCCGGCAAATAAACGTTTGTTCTTTAAGAGTAGTAATAAGAAATTCTTCTATAATATTGTTACGAAAGTAACATTACAGTGTGTAAAGCTTTAAATTCTCATATGCCGTCTTTTTTTCAAATTAATTTGAGGGAACACTACACAGGGTTAATTAACTGTAGGATCAGGAAAGGGCCTGGGTCACGGACCCGTATGAAAACGGCAAGCGAAATAACTGGTCAAGTATGTAAACTCCTGTGTTATTCTGGAAGTATATTAAGCCACAGGTAGACTAGTCCATTCCGTAGTATAACCAATAGTGGTTAAGGCGTTGGACTGCACTAATATAGGAGTGAGTTCGATTCCCACTTAGTACTTAGTAAGTATTTACTTACGTAAATAAGAAAAATATATAAAAATTAACCTGTATGTAAACTAAGTGACTATAACTGTGTTATTCCGGAAGTATATTATTATACGTTTCCATGTGTATGAATTGTAAATAACTCTTTTCTTCACTCATATATTTGTGCGTTATTAGTTTCATTTCTTTAGTAATCATTCATTAAAATCATTCCTGGTATTCCGTACTACTTTTGTTTGCCGTGTATACCACCTCTGATTGAGGGGGAATACGCTTACTAGATCTATTAAGAAGGCGAAATTTTGTGTGGATGTTTATTACTCTTTCACGCAAAAACGGCTGAAAGGATTTGGATGTAATTTCTCACAGAGATAGGTTACAGTCTGGGATAGCACATAGGTCACTTTTAATCCCGATTTTTTTTAGTGTGTTAAAACAACAATGGCGAGGCGCAATTGTCACTTAATAATCCTCCAAATATGTAAAAAAGAACTTTCATTGTGATACGACTAAATCAAAGGCTTTACATAAATC